AAGACATAGCACTTCACTACAGTTCATGTGTGAACTTGTAGGCAAGGTGGTGTATAGAAAAGGGCCAATAAGGGAAAAACTTTGGGATCTTGGGAGTTAAGGATGTGATCCAGATGAGCATTTAACTTAGCAAATTGGCTAATGTAGTTAAGATAAACAACTATAGTTGGGATTACAAGAAAGATAAAGACTCCAAAACAAGTCATAAGATTACCTTTATATAGTTGAGGCTGGTGCTCATGAATTTGAGACCAAAATTAATGATAGTGAGAGGTCAAATACGGATGAGGACACAAGTCCTTGAAATGGTAGCCGAAACTACTTTTTATAAATGTTGGAACAAACCCAAGGAGTTGGGGGTATGCTCAGAAGATGAGTCGGTGACCTGCAGCTGTTGGAGAAGATCCTGCATCACCTGTCTAAGGAAGCCATTGCCACGATTGGAAATCAAAATGACAGGAATTCTAAATCAGCAAATAATGTATTTGTAGACAAACTTTTCTATAGACTGTTGATCTGCCTATCATAGAGGGGTGGCCTCAACCCATTTCATGAAATAGTTCGTCGCCACGATGATGTATCACTGTCCTTTTGAGCTCGGTGGGTTGATCGAGCCGACGAAGTCAAGTCTTCACTGGAAAAAGGGACCCAGAGAAGTGATGAGCTAGAATGGAAGACATGGAACATGGCTCCAGAGGTTGAATTGTTGGCACTGCTCACATGGCAAGCTATCCTAGTGAATCCGAGGCCAAAAGTAGCCATGGCGCAAGAGGAGCTGTGCTGTGACCCATCCCAAGAAATGCCCTGTACAAGAGTGGAAAGCACAAAGGAGCTCAGGGACTTCATGTTCACCCATACACTGCAACAAAAATTCCTAAGAAGTCCTCCTATAAAGGTGTCTGTTGAGAAGGCAAAACCCATGCTCGGATCTCCAATGCCTTTTGTTTTACTGGTGAGGAATCTGCTAGGAACTGACCTGAATCTAGGTACACTGCAATGTCTTATAATGCTGTTGGGACCACAAAGGAAGTAACTTCAACAACCAGGAACTCGCTCAGATCCATCACACACTTCCGCCACATGTGAAAAGTTGGCTGGAACTCTTGGATGGTCACAATCCAAGATAAAGTACGAGGACTATGAACTAGTTGCTGTAAAAGAAAGGTCAGCACATTAAAATAGACATGGAAATGGATACAAGCTCTAGCGAAAAAGTGACAAAATCGGTCCAAGGTGTAAACAACAGCCATTGCTTCTTTTTCCGCATCCACGTACTTCTTCTTAGTCTTCTTGAATGAATGTGAGGTATAATATGTTGCATGTGGTGGGTTGCTAGGCTGTGAACCTTTGCATAGGCATACTCTAAAAGCTTTTGTACCCATCGTGATGTAAATTTCGAAAGGAAGTTGTCGTTCTAGTGGCTGGAGTACCAGAGCCGTGCAGAGTGACTACTTCAGTGATTCAAAGACTCACCCTAGACAAATGGAACGTTGTGTTGTAGTAGAGCTATCAAAGGCCGTGAACGTGCAGCATAGTTGTGAAGGAAACGGTGAAAGAAACCCATTTGCCTGAGGAAGCTGCGAAGCTGCTTCATATTGGTTGGTGGGTTCCGATCCATAATCTCCTGAGCCTTAGCTATCTGGGGCTTGATCCCATCCTATGAGACATCAAAGCCTAGAAATTGGCCTTCAGTCACCCCAAATTTATACTTTGCCGGGTTCAATGAAAACTTGTGTTGTCAGCAGCGAGTGAAGATCTGCTCCAAGTACACAAGGTGGTCCTCGAAGGAGTCAAAGGTCATGCACAGATCATCCATATACACCCTCAAGGCACCTCCAATCAAGTTGTGAAAGGCGTGGGTCATAAAGCGTTGAAAAGTAGCTTCAGCGTTACACAAGCCAAACAAGAGGACATTGAAAGAAAAGATGCCCCAAGGTGTTCAGAAGGCCATAAGATCTCGATAATTGGGATGAATGAAGATCTAATTGTACCCTAAAAAGCCATCCATGAAAAAGTAGTAATGGTGTCCAGCCATCTCATCCACAATCACATCAATAAATGGAGTGGGAAAGTGATCTTTCACAGTTGCCTTATTCAAGTCTCGAAAGTCAATGCAGAGGCGGAGTTTTCCATTTGCCTTGCATGCAAGGACGAGATTGGCCACCCAGTCTGAGCTCTCCAAAGGGTAAATAAAGCCGGCTGCCAGAAGTCACTCGATCTCCAACTTCATCTCTAAGTGAGCTGTTGGGTTGAAATGCCACATCTTTTGATGGACTGGTTTAGCTGACTCTGAAGGCACAATACTGTGCATGATTGTGTCCATGGGACCTCCTAGAAGTTAGTTGTAGTCCCAAGCAAATATGTCCTTGAAACAGTGAAGGAGATCCAAGAGCTTTGCTGCATTTGTTGAAGCAAGCGATGTGGCGATAAAGACTGGGTCCTTGTCATAATCTAGGAAAACGGCATGAACCCTGGAGTCTGGAGAAACCTTGGGCTCAAGGGGCTCATCTATCTTAGATTCCTCCCTGACTTTGGAAACCAAAGAGTAGGGAGTGCCTTTTGCCTCTCGCATCATGGTGATTGCTTGATGTGATAACCTATCTGCCCAAAAGTTTTCTTCATGAGGAACACTTTGAAAAGTCACTTGAGAGAACTCATCCTTTAGGTTGACCGCCCGTTGCCATAGCTCTTTAAGGTTCTCTTTGCGGACTTGGTATTCTCCAGTAAGTTGGCATATGATGAGTTGTGCATCTCCAATGAAAGTGGCTCACCTAAACTTGAGATCTATGGCCAACTTCATAGCACTGATAGTTACCAAGTACTCTACTTCATTAGCTAATGTTGCTAGTAAAGTGATAGAGAGGTCGGCTACTTTGTTCTCCACAAAATCAATCATCCAAACTCCAATGCCAACAACCTAGTTTTGGGGGTAGAAAGCACCATCAAAATAAGCTGTAATCATAAGAGTGTCCTCTTCTTTGAATAAAGATGCTAGGGACACCACATCTGGCAAGACTATCTCTAGCAAGTTGGGTAAGAACGTTGTTGTTGGATCCAGAGTCTTTGTCTATTGTTCTCTTTACTTCTAATGCTCTAAGCACTTAAACGCTGAATATCAGATGTGAGGATAGTAACCAAGTACTTCGCAAGTGAAGGAAGGTCCTCCACTAAAGTCGAGTCCAAGTTTGGTGCTAAAGTTTCAATGTAATACACTTGGATCTGTATTGGGAGCTCCATGGTAGGAAATTCTAAACTCAAAGAGCTATAACTTGCATGTAGCACGTCTGATTGGCTTAATTCTTTCTGCCAATTGTGTGTCTAGATGTCATCCTTTGTCTCCAAAAAATGGCATGACAAAATACACTCAGAGTCATCAGCTACCGTGATTTTAGTAGGAAGATGCTGGCTGTGTGACACCTCAAATAGTTGCTGAGGAGGATTGAGTTCGGCTGTGTCCTGTGAAAGATGGACCTGGTATAAAGTGACTGTATCATCAAGCTCCATAAGAGAGAGTTGGTCCCATGCAAGAAATGAATTGAGAAGCCCTTCCTCTATCAAGAAACACTCTAAAAAGCTGGATATGGGAGCCCGTACCTATAAGCCCTGCCATCAAATAAAGAGGGTGTGGCTAGAGGCTTGGCCTTACTCTCAAATAAAGAGAGTGAGGCTGAAAGATGTCTCAAGCTATCTGACTCACCTCCAACAATGTCGATCACATTGTATGAGAAAGCATTCGTCATATAGATGGTCGACTCTACTGCCAACTTGGGAAAAACCTCTATGAGCTCAGGAGGAAAGTGTGGTGTGGAAACCACTTTAGTCTGAGCCTCTTGGGCTTGCTAAGAAAGAGCTCTACCATGGTTGTTGAGAAAGGTGGTGCTATGAGTTCCATCGCTAATTTCCATCTTGCCTTGCGCGCTCTCAATGGTGCAATGGGCTATGACTTGCCATGAGTAGCCAAGGATGATAGAGTCCTTCAAAAAGGACATTCCAAGACATTGGTAGTTAACCATGAGGAAATCTACCTCAAAAATAACACCTTGCACTAAGACCTTGACACCACAGCAAATGCCTGCTGGAGGAATAGTGTGGTTGGTGAAGGTCTTGAGCACGATGAAGGAGCTCTTAGTGATTTGTAACTATGCTGAAAGGGTAGCTTCAAGAAAGATAATATTGCTTCCAAAACCAGAGTCAACCAAAGGATCCATCTGACAAGAGGAAGTACCAATCTGCACCGGGACGAAGAATGGACTAGGATCTCCACCATATTTTGTCATGTTGACAATGTGCACCTCTTGAGGAGTCCTCTTGAGAGTGCTCTCTAGTGTTCCTGACCATGCAAACTCCTCTAAACACTGGCCGAATCCCAGGACAAGGCACATGTCTTAGAGCGGAAAGGTGACGGGAGTGTCAACCAGCTATTGAAGAACTGACTCTGGAACAGGAATAGCTGTTGGTGAGATCTCAGGAGGAGAAGAGAGTAGTGACTTGAAGGGGAGCTTACAAGCCACCCTCTATGTCACTGGATTTGGTGCTGACAGAGATTCACTCTCAATTGATGCAAGGGGATCTATGATAGGCTGAGCGGCTACCTTCTTCTTCACTTGGGCTCGAGTGGCTGTGGTTTGCTGCTGTTGGTTATAGATATCCTTAGCTACCAAAATCATGTTAACCGATAAGGCTAGTGCTTTGCCTTTGTTTGATGAAGGGGCTGCCCCAATTGCCTGTTACTCCAACTGCTCCTGATATGTCTCTGGACCCCAAGACGATGTGGAATTGTCAGCAAAGGCATGTTGTTGGACACATTGAAAAGGTGGAGGCTGAAGCTCTGGGTGAAGCTTGAAGTAGCGCTGTGTGTTGTGTGTGTTTGTCTCGTGGTGAGTGCACTAACGGGACTTGAATTTGCATTCCCGAGCTGCAGCAGCCTCTTTCCTAGACTCCACTAGCTCCTAGAGCAGCTTATCATGGTGTGATTGTTGCTGGAGAATGATCTCCTTCAACTACCACATCTTGTTGGCAAAGTTCTCAATAGCCAGAGGTGTATGCTCAATAGCGACAGGCTTTGGTGTGGACAGGTGAAAAGCTGCACAAAATGACTCTGACGGGGTGATGGCTTGGTCGAAATCAACTTTAGCAATTCCCAGGTCGATAAGAAGCTCTTTTTCCAGCTTTGTGGCAAACAAAAATGCCTCGTGGCAAGACTTAAATGTCTTTTTAAGAAGTTTCCGCTGCAAGTTCTCACACAAACCCGCTATGAATGTCGTGATCCTTTGCTGCTCATCTTGGACCACTCTATGATCCCAACACTACTTCCAGTATGCTTGAAACCAAGTGATGTAGTAAGGAACAGACTCGTGAGCCTGCCAGAACGAAAAGAGGTCGACAAGTAGCCGATTTGAAGGAATAAGCTCGAAGCGATCAATAAGAAAGCCTCTAGAAAAGGGACACAAAAGGACCAACACATGACATGTGGAAGTGTTAGGACCAAGTCCGAGATGGGCCTGAGATGGACTCGAGATGGAATCCGAAAAGGAGTCCGAGATAGAGTCCAAGTTGAGATAGAGTTTTTGATGTAGTCCGAGAAAGAGTCCGAGATAAACCCAAGATGGAGTCCAAGAAGGAGTCTGAGATGGAGTCTGAGAAGGAGTTTGAGATGGAGTCCGAGAAGGAGTCTGAGAAGGAATCTGAGATGGAGTCTAAAAAGGAGTCCAAAAAAGAGTTCAAGATGAAGTCCAAGATAGAGTCTGAGATGGAGCCCAAAGTTGAGTCCAAGATGGAAACCAAGACTGGGTCTTAAATCAAGACTGAAACTGAGACCGAGACCAAGACTGAATCCAAAACCAAGTCTAAGTCTGAGTCCGAGTCCAAGTCTGAGTCCAAGTCCAAGTCCGAGTCTGAGGCTAAGTTCAATGGTGAAAGCCCAAAGTGATTGTCTCCCAGACCCTAGGGAGTCTAGTGAGCTCCAAAAGGATAGTGAAGGGAGGACTCCAATGGAATCAGTTTGACTAGGAAATGTCAATGTGACCAAAGAAAATTATACCCATTTGGTGGGTGATGATATAACTATTGAGGAGCCCAAAGCTAGAGTGAACATGGATGGATAAGTGGGGTAACTTAGTGAAATGTTCAAGAGCTGACTTTAGCTCCCCAGGGAAATTGATTAGTCGATGCTTCCAATCCAAGTGTGGTGGCACTACTTATTTGGATACTTAACGTGTTTTATCAAAACCTCGCTTTAGCCACATGGCTATAGCATCCAAAGGCAAAAGGTGGGGAGAGTACCCATAAGGCTCATGTAGGACTACAATATGTTGTCCCAAAATCATGGATTGTAAAAAGAAAAGAATAGTCCTTTTGTGTAGTGACCAAGGGCATGGTCACGTGGTGAGAAAGTCCCAAGGGTCAATGGGACTTAGTAGTTAGTCCTTTGGGCCCTAACTTAATGGCGATGTTGGCTGTGGACAGAATGGGACTTAATAGGGATTGATGGAGGGATATTGGGGAAGAGTGTTCCCCATGTTTCCAAGCATCTTAAAGGTGCTAAGGTGTGGTTAGGGGATGATCATTCATGGATGGATGGCTTAGTCTTTGGGAGATGGGTCTATGGTATGGGTGGTCTTGGATTACCAATGAGACAAAGGTGAATAAATATAGCCTTAATGTAACGGGTTGATATTTCAATAATACCTTTAGGTGTATATAGTGGGATTAAACATATAAAGCACTTGGGCTAAGTGAAAAGACTAAGTAGTATAGATGTTATTCATAGGGCTAGCATGCCCCCAAATTGGGAATAAGACTTATGGAAGTTATAAGTGAGACACCTCCACGTGATTGAAAGTGTGGTTAAGTGACTAAAGTAGAATGGAAAATTTAGTCGCTTACATTAATTTCTCGGCATCTTCAAATTAATGGGCAATTCAAATATAGTGCTCAAATTCTTGAGTAGTATCTTTAATATTTTATTTCCCATCAACAAAATGATTGGATTGATCTCTTTACTTCTATTGAGTTCATTTATAATAATTCCTAATATTCTTCAACACATCACTCTGCATTCTTCATCAATTATGGCTTTGGTCATATTCACTTCTTCTAACACTTAATTTTACACATAATGATTTTGTTGTTACTTATATTACTACTTTGGATTCTCTTCATAAGGAAGTTCATTGCCACCTTTTTAGTATTCAATCTACTCATTACTGTATTACTATTTATTCTTACCAACTTAATCTTTCTTTTTCAGTTGGATAAAAGGTTTAGTTTATTTCTTAATATGAGAAGCTATAGGTGTGAGACACAAATCCCTAAGCCCCAAAGTGGAGCCGAAAGGGTGCCATGTGGTAGCAACCGAAGCAAAAGCCAAACGAGCGTAACACGTTTGGACTAAAAGGCTCCGACTTGAAAGGTTGAGAGCGGGAGTGGAACTCCCAACGGAGTGCTAAAGGAACGAGCATGAAGCGAGCAATAAGCGAGGCTCCAAAAAGGGACCCAAAAGGACCAACACATGACACGTGGAAGTGTTTGAGATGGAGTCCGAGATGGACCCGAGTTGGAGTCTGAAGTGGAGTCCAAAATGGAGTCCGAGATGGACCTGAACTAGAGTCCGAGGTGGAGTCCGAGATGGAGTCCGAGATGGACCGAGATGGAATCCGAGATGAACCCGAGTTAGAGTCTGAGGTGGAGTTCGAGATGGAGTCCGAGATGGACCGAGATGGAGTCCGAAATGGAGTCCGAGATGGACCTGAGATGGAGTCCGAGATGGACCTAAGATGGAGTCCGAGATGGACCCGAGATGGAATCCGAGATGGACCCGAGATGGAATCCGAGATGGAGTCTGAGAAGGACCCGAGATGGAGTCCGAGGTCGAGACCGGGACTGAGACTGGACCGAGACCGAGACCGAGACTGAGATCGAGACCAAGACCAAGACCGGGACCGAGGCCGAGGCCGAGACCGAGCCCGAGCCCGAGTCCGAGTCCGAGTCCGAGTCCCTGAGAGGGTGAAAGCCCAAAGCGTTTGTCTCCCAAACCCTGGGGGGTTTGGCGAGCTCCAAAAGTATAGTAAGGGGGAGGACTGCAGTGGAGCCAGTTTGGCCAGGAAAGGCCAGTTTGGCCCAAGAAGGCTAGACCCAGTGTTGGGTGATGAACTAACCACTGGGAAGTTTAAGACTAGAGTGAATACGGACCGACAAGTGGGGTAGCTTGGTGAAGTGTTCAAGAGCCAGCTCTAGTTCCCCCAGGAGATCGACTGGCTGATGCTCCCAGTCCAAGTGTGGGTGGCACTACCTACTTGGATACCTAGTATGGCTTAACGGAACCTTGCTCTAAGCCCATGGCTAGAGCACCTAAAGGCGGAAGGTGGGGAGAGTACCCACGGGGCTCTCGTAGGGCTACGGTGTTCCGAAATGTTGTCCCGAAGTCCAAAATGGGGGAAAGGAGGAGGAGCAGTCCTCTAGTGTAGTGACTACAGATACGGTCACATGGTGAGGAAGTCCCAGAGGACAATGGGACTTAGTGGCCAGGCCTACGGGCCTTGATCTAGTGGCAGTGTTGGTGAACATGGCCATGGACGGGAAAGGGATTTGGCAGGAACTGACAAAGGGATGTTGGGGAAGACTATTCCCCATATTTGTGGGCATCCTAAGGATGCTAAGGAATGGATCTGGGATGACCACTCGTGGACAGACAGCCTAATCTTGGAGAGACGGGATTGTGATGCAAGTGGTATTGGACCACCAGTGCGGCAAAGGTGAATGGGCATGGCCTTAGTGTAACGGGCTAATATGTTAGTGGTACCTTTCGGTGTTGGTCTTGGGATTGGACACGTGGAGCACTTAGACCAAGTGCAAGGGAGGAGTGGCATGGATGCCATTCTCGGGACTAGCAAGTCCCAAGTCTTGAATGGGACTTAAGAAGGTTGTTAATGAGACTCCTCCAAGGGGTCAAAGGTGTGGTTAAGTGACGAAAGTAGAATGGAAAATTTAGTCGCTTACAACTTGGTATCGAAACTGTTCCTTAGTCCGACTTTTATTGGTGCTGAAGTATATCACCACTAGTGTTGGCATCGGAAGGTCCTAGGAGTGGGCTTATCCTTGAGGAGTAGCAAGTCGGGAAAACATGGCTCTCCATTACAGTTCACGTGTGAACTTATAGGCAAGGTGGTGGATAGAAAAGGGCCAATGATGGAACGACTTTGGGATCTTGGGAACAGTGCAAGGTTTTCCTCATTGAGTTGAGGATGTGATCCAGATGAGCGTTTGACTCAGCAAACTGATTAATGTAATTGTGGTAAACAACTATAGTTGGGATCACAAGGAAGATAAAGACTCCAAAATGATAAAGGAGTCACAAGATTACCCTCATGAAGTTGAGGCTAGTGCTCATGAATTGGAGACTAGAAGTAATGACTGCGGGAGGTCAAATACAGAAAAGGACACAAGTCCTTGAAATGGTAGCCAGAGCTACCTCTAATAAATGCCGGAACAACCCAAGGAGTTGGGGGTGTATTTAGAGGATGAGTTGGTATTCTCATCACATGGACAAGTGGTCCTAAAGGGTGAAAGGTTGCCCCTAGAGAACAAATCAAGTGTCAGAGTAACACTTGCAAAAGATGGTCCTTGTGAGTAGGACATGAATACAAAGAGTTGTATTCCAGTGAGTTAGCACCTCAAAAGTAGGACCTCATAGGTCGTCGAATTAACAAAGTCTGAAAGGTTGAATGACTCCAATAGAGTCAAGGAATAATCTTAAGGGCTTGAGGAAAGCATTTGGACTGAGGTGTGTGGTGCCCCACAAAGGATGGGGAGGATCTTGAGATCCAAGCATGAGAGCAGTATGTATCTCATTGATGGCAGAAGGTGCCATGCTAAAGTCGTGGGAAAGAGTTTCCCGGGAGAAAAAAACTTTGACAAAAATTTGTGCATGAACTCTATAGTGCAATGCTAATGGATAATTGGCCTAAGAGACAACCATATTGGTCTTGGCAAAAATACCTGGACACAAGTAAGAAGTGTCATAAAGGTAGGCTCGTGGAGCCAATGGTGTGGAGACACCGAAGGTGCCAAGGCGTGCTGCCTTGAAGTCAAGTTGGTGGGTTTATGAGAACCCCTTCCAAAGGAATCCCAATGGAAATGGGAATAGTATAGCCTAAGCTGGAAGGCATGCGGTTAGAGTGTGGTGACCCAGATAATGATGGAGGTGTGGAAGCACCAGCAATAAATTGTA